AGGTAGATCACTTAGGGGCATGTTATATCGTAAGCGCAAGGCATCTCTAAATTCTTGCTTGTTGAGGGTTAGGCCTTGGTTGTCATAAGGAATAGTGTTTAACCAGGAACTTGCACCTTTATCTCTTGCTTGATCGATGTAAGTTGCCATTTCTGGATTCATCATACCGTCGATACGCTCGATTTTCGACTTTGTCATAATTGCTTTCAAACTGCGATATTGACTCTTGAGATCCTCTGAGTCCTCCAAAGGTGTTAAATTTTGATCTTTTATAGACTCGGTGTGTCTAGATGTTATTAACTTCGATGATATTATCATAACAATGATAATAATAATAATAACAATAATAATAATAATAATGATAACAAAAGACTTGAAAAAAACTTGAGACTTGAGAGATACACTTGAGAATTGAGAGATACACTTGAGACTTGAGAGATACACAGGCAAAAAAAACTTGAAAAAAAACTTGAGACTCGAGAGATACACTTGAGAATTGAGAGATACACAGGCAAGCCTTTACACGTAAACTACATCAAGACGTGCGAGGACAAGATGGATAAGGAGAGCACTTGGCCAAAGAAAGGAGACATTAAAATGGAGACGGAAGGACTACTCACTGCTGCACAGGACCAAGCACTACCTACCAACTACTTAGGAAGTAAGTACAACAGTTCCCTGCGCCATCTTGAAAGGAAGCAGTGCCTTTGTATCGAAGCGAGACGAACGGTGAGCTTGCAATGATAGAGACCTTTTTTAACACCTTAGACAATTATTCGCATGATTCGATGCAAAGGCACGGCTACCTTTCAAGATGGCGCAGGGAACTGCGAAGGGGACTATTGGAAACCTTCTAATTACTTTTGCATTGCTTTTATATTGCGTTTCCAACAATTAAGGTTGGTGCCTACTATTGTCAGCGCGCACACTTACTGCGCATCTGCATCGAGGGATTCCCGCGGGTTTCAAAATCAAAACACTCAAAGGTACAGAAAACGTCGGCCTTGGAAAAATTAAGACCAAGAACAACAGCAATAACTATTATTTATGTAGTCAAAGGTGTATCACAGAGTAATTTTCAAGAATTCAGGTGTTTTTGGCGAAAAATCATGTTTTTACTATCTAGAAAAGGCAGTTTCGATGGCCTTGGATCGGTGAATAATAAAATAACTTTTTCAATATTTCCATACAGATAAGCTCAGTTTGTTTTGAAAAGGAATTACACATTACACCAAATACCTCGTATTTATATAAACTGTCTTTCACTCACTCAAAAAGTATACACTTATACATAACTAAGCATCATGGGAAACTTTTCATATCAAAAAAGCATATATATACAAAGCTTTTTTAATACAAACTGCAGCTTGATGATGCTCAGAAGAAGTGAGACTGTAACCGTTAAAAAATTCGCAAGTCCATGAACAGTTATCAAGCGGTGAAATGTGAAAAACGAATCTACCCATAATCCTTGTCGGCCTCTGCTTTATAGCTTTTCAGGAGTAGTATAGGGAATGGGGGTTCCAGCGCAATCTCAACACGGGCAAGATTCGTATCAAAAATCCACCTACGGACGACCCCCACTCCAAGTGTGGTTGAGGGCAACAGCGCACTTAAATATGTTAGTCTATATATGGAGTGCGAAGAATGTAAGAGAACTTTT